TCGTTCGTTTATTGCTTTTCGCATTTACCTAAGACAAAGCGACATGAGATATTTGTCTCATCTTTTTTAATTATGATTATGGCTAATTGATTTCAAACATTTAGCTTATAAGTCATGTATTATAGTCTAAATTTATGAGCGGTGGATCCAAGGGGAGTTGATATTTAAATACTTGTGGTGGATCAAAGGATACTAATGATTTTTGCAAATTTATTTCAACGTTTAGTTAATATTTCTGTGTGTGATCATGATCTTAACTAAGAAGTGGTGGATCCAAGGCAAGTGGATATTGATTGTTTTGATAGCCATAAGAGTTGTGGTGGATATAAAGGGAGTAGATAGATATTTGTAATAGGTCAAAGGATAATAATGATTATGGTTAATTGATTTCAAACATATAGCTTATATGTCATAGTGTGATCAAGATCTAAACTTATAAGTGGTGGATCCAAGGGGAGTGGATATTTATCTTTTTTAATTATTTGTGTTTGATCAAAGGTTATTAATGAATTGTGATCATGTCTAATTTATTTCAAACATTTAGCTCGTGATCTTAATTTTAAAGTGGTTGATCCAAGGCAAGTGGATATTATTTTTAAATATTTGTGATGGGTAAAAGGACATTACTGATTCCGGCTAATTGATTTCAAACATTAAACTTATATGTCATGTGTGATCAAGATCAGAACTCATAAGTGGTGGATCCAAGGGGGTGGATATTTATCTTTTTTAAATATTTGTGAATGATCAAAGGATATTAATGATTTATGATTATGGCTAATTTATTTCAAACATTTAGCTTTTATGTCACCCATATCGAAAATAAATATAAAAATAATAGATTAAAATAATACAAAAATAATACAAAAAAAGTATATTTTTAATGACCAAATTTGGAACCCTTTTTATCTTGGTTCCAAATTAGGTCAAAAATAATACACTTTCTTAGAAATGAAACACAAAAAAATATATTTTTAATATACTTTATTTCTCAGTAAAAATACAAAAATAATACACTTGATGTATTTTTTCTGTACTCTTGTATTTTTTCTGTATTAAATCCTAATCCAAAGTACAAAAATAATACAATTTAGAGAAGAACTAAAAAATACAAAAATAATATAAAATGTATTAATTTTGTATCAGTCTATTATTTCTGTATTATTTGGAGCACCTTGAAAAAGAAAAAATAGGAAAATAATACAAAATGTATTAATTTTGTATCAGTCTATTATTTCTGTATTATTTGGAACACCTTAAAAAAAATAGGAAAATAATACAAAATGTATTAATTTTGTATGAGTCTATTATTTCTGTATTATTTGGAGCACCTTGAAAAAAAAAATAGGAAAATAATACAAAATGTATTAATTTTGTATCAGTCTATTATTTCTGTATTATTTGGAGCACCTTGAAAATTAAAATAGGAAAAAAATACAAAATGTATTAATTTTGTATCAGTCTATTATTTCTGTATTATTTGGAGCACCTTGAAAAAAAAATAGGAAAATAATACAAAATGTATTAATTTTGTATCAGTCTATTATTTCTGTATTAAAATCGATTTTAAAATTAAAAAAATCTAAAATACATTCTGAAAGGTACCAAAAAAAAATACATTTAGGAGTTCAAAAAAGGTACAAGAATGATAGACAAAAAGTACATAAAAAAGCTTTAAATAATACAAAGCAGTGCCTAGAAAAGTACTAAAAACGTGAAAAACTTCTTAAATGCAGCTTTCAATCAGATTTTAAAGAGAAATGGTTTTAGATTACTGATTTAGTTATTTTTTTGCGCAATAATCATGATCTTTTCTGCCTTACATACAGTATTCACTCTTCAATTGTCCTCATTTCTAAGTCATGTTTTATCAATCTTATTGCCTTTGTAAATTATACATTTATAATGAGATATGAATTCAAAAGTCTAGATCTTCTCTCTGCTTTGGGGTTTCTTTTGCACAGCACTATACTTTATTGAAGAAGTACATCTCCAGTTTTCTCACTGTCATCCTGCTTGGTCCTGCATAATCTTAGACTACAAAATAGAATATCAAAATGTACTGGGGTATATCAAAAATAGATGCACAGACACACACAAAAAGAAATCTTCACATGATTAGCTGATATTGTCATTTGTCAATGTTACACACCTGTAATGCTTCAAGGGGTAGGGTGGGAGGGTGGGTGGGTAGGTGTCCTAGCTATTCCTCTATAACTAATCAGCTTTTCTTCTTTGGCTCTGTAGAGGCACTCAAACTGAAAAAGTAATGATACTGATAAATGTTTTGCATAACAGGTAGAAATAAAGACCATTAAAAGATGAAAATATAAAACTGTCAATACACCTCATTGGAATTGGGGGGGGGGGGGGGTCATTTGATTTGAAATCTTAAACTGATATTGGGGAAGGGAAACATGGATCATCATTTATTGATATAAAAAATAATTAGTTTGTGCCTAGAATCATTAAATCATATACGATAGGGAACCACACAGACTGTTCAAGTCATTTTTGAAATAATTATAAGTATGCTAAACCATAAATCCATGAAGCTTAGTTGCAATGATTACCCCCCCCCCCCCTTCACTTTTCAAAATTTAATTGGTTGTATGCCAAGATGATTTTATCTGTTATAATTCCATGCTTAGGCCTGAGGGATAGGGTGAAATTAATTTTTAAGTCATTTTTGGTCCATGTAAATAATATCATCTGCCATTGAACATGTTGAAAGCCCGTAATTATCCATAAAATTCAAGATAGAAAGAACAAAACAAAACTCTCTTTCGCCACAAATCCAACATCTCCAATATATCTACATTCAATTTGACCTACTATGAATTGGTTATAAAAGATATTATTAACATTTATTCATCTACATTTCACATTTTAAAAATTGAGACTACTGTGCTATTTTATTTAAATTCTTACCGCATATGGCGTTGTTTACACCAGGAAAGCCAGGGCATGATGCTTGAAAAACGCCAACCTCCTTCCGTTTTCGCTTTTCTTTGTTTAAAATTGTGATCCATGCTAACATGCTGTAGCTAAACATCTATTTTCTACCAATTTCATCGGCGAATACTAGCTAAATTTTTATTAAACATCACAACTCTCTCAATTCTGTTCCTCGATCTATTTTTCAAAATGGCGTGGGTAAATCACCGTTAACCAATCAGAGAAAAGCAAAGAAAAATTTTAAAATCTGACCAATCAAATAGCTCCTTATTTACGAAGATTGCCGGTTTTTAAATATAAAATATTTTTAACAGTCTAAGGAAATGTATTTATTTTCGAAGTCTAATAAGTAATATGAAATCAATTTAATAAACCCTTGATCATTACTAGAATAATTAGGAGGACTCATTTCTTATATTCGTTATATTTGTTTTTAAGAAATTTTCCGATTACAGATGAAAGATTTCTGGTCAGCCATATTGTTTTGTTTTTTTAATTATACAAGTTGACCTGTAAAGTAGACCATAAAGTTCAAGAAGAATGATCAAATTAGTGTTAAATCTAAAGCAAAATAACAAGGTATAGAGCCATGCCCCCTTTTCTCGGCGCCATGTCCTTTTTTCCTGACAAAAAATTAATAAATATTCCCAGTGTTGGCGATATTCCTTAGCTGTTCTGTTGATTCAGTGCATACTGATAACCTCTTGTTTACATAACGCAACCAACAATTGACCAAGTGTGAATTCACGACAGGAAATCACTTCACGCTTGAACGATTCACACAGCCACCTGGCTAATTAACATGCCGCAGGCTGTCAGGGTAGAAGATTTAACTTGAGAAACTGTCATTTGATTGCATTGATTACACAAGAATTAGCCCAAGATCAAACATAATTAACTTGTAAATTATTAACTAATTAAAATCAGGATCGTTTTTTTTTAAAACTGAGAGTAGAATTATAAACACAGAGTTGAAGAAAAACTCGTCTGATATTTTATCTGAATAAAAACAACTTACTTTGTACCAAAAACTGAATGTGATGTGACAAAAGGCTAAAAAACAACAACCTAAGTTAGTTTCAGCTAACATTCTCTAGTGTAAATATCTATCTTAAACACACTGATAATTTAATTAGGAAACCTACTACTTGCACATCCCTTTCTACTTGAACATTGTAAGCTCATTTCTTGAAATTTATTTAGGATAATTTGAATGTGATTCCTTCTCTGAGTGAAAAAAATGCACATATTTACTAAAATCTGAAGAAAACATCGTATGTATGGTATTAGCTAGTTGCCAGTTGGGATTTTCCATGTGCACAGGTAAATCACGTGATTTCTGAATTGTAGTATGATGTAATCATTTGTTAGCCTGCAAGACCACCTGTTGTGTGATAGATCTAAACAGTGAAAGATGGGGTGTTGCTAAAACGCGGAACGGAAAACGGAACGGAACGGAAAACGGAAAATTAATGTCAAGCAAATAACCTAGATTTGATATAAATCACACATAAAAAGCAATATTCATGATATAAAAGGCACCTTTAATGAAAAATTATAGTAAAATACGATATATTCATTAACCTGATGCACCCCTCAGAACTGGCACATGTACATGGGATGGTCAATAAATATAGTCTGTGAGATATATACTTACCAGACTTTAATCCAGGGTATCCATCTGAAGGTTTCGTTCAAATTAAATTTTTTTAAGAAAGCTCATTCATACACGAAATATATGAATTGGCGGAAGGTAAAAAACTGCTAGTATGTACATATATGTGTCTGTAAACATTGGCGTCGGAAGCAAATTGAAAGTGGGGGGGGGGGGGTAGGTGTAAAAAAATATATATACCTTCAGAAAAACCTGACAAGCACAAAAAAAAGGATATGATGAAGATTTCCCAAACACGGAAATCATATTTCGTTGGGGGGGGGTGTAAGTTCGAACTTCAATGGCAAATTTTCTTCCCCAACACCATCACTTTCACAATTTTTAACCTATATTGCGACGTGTCTGTGGAAAGTGGGGGGGGGGGGCAAAAACTACAAAGCAATGTTCAATATCTATACTAGATATATGTTTGGAAAAAAGTGGGGGGGGGGGCTAAGCCCCCTTGCGCCACCCCCCCCCCCCCGGTTCCGACGCCTACGGTAAAGACAAAAAAAACATGCACCCGTTTTGACATTCAGATTATGCATGCAGTGGCGTATCCAGGAATCTTGAAAGGGGGGCAGTTTGGGGTCGGAATAGGTGCCCTCAGCAACACAAAAATTGATATAATAAATGACATGTACATTTTGTCACCAAAAATAGGTTAGGGGGGGGGGGGGGTTGGGTCTTGGTCCCTCTAAATCAGTGACATGATATCAATGCATATTGAGAAATTAAAATATGAACATAAGAAAAAAGTTCTTTCAAATGAATTTAAATGAATTTAACAGCATGTTCAATAGCCGCAGATCTGTTCTCTCCGAAAAAAATATATTGATAGACCGGAGAGCTACAGTTCCTACCATTGAAAAAACTGTATATTAATTGCGCACAAAAAGTGCGCTCGGTTCTCGATTTATTTCTCCATGTTTTTAAACTGTGATCTCAAAACATTACCATGATTACTAACCCTGTGTTCCGAGCATATTCTTTCGCTGTTTCCACAACCAAACAGTGGCATTCCTCATAATTGTCGTTAATTGTCCTCCTGACCCTGATATTGTAATCATAGAACATTTCGCTTATGTATACTGCCATTTTGGTTTCAAATATAATTCGGTCCAATATGCTTCGTTCAGATGTCAACTATGAGAGTACTTCATAGAGGAGAAAGGAATGTTTAAGATCTTCCCTTATTTGCAATTGAGGTAAGAATTTGGAAGAATTAATCAAGGACCGAGCGCACTTTTTTTGTGCGCAATAAATATACAGTTTTTTCAATGGGTGGCTATGTAGCTCTCCGGTCTATCAATATATTTTTTTCGGAGAGCTATGTACAGATCTGCAGCTACATGTTCAACTGTTTTCTTTAGTTGCAACTTTTCAGATATGAGGCGAAAAACAGGGAATCTGAAAATGTTTACGGGGTCATTCATACCAAACCCTCACCTCCAAACACACTTTAATTTCATTGACTGTACAGATGATACATAAATTTTGCCACAGTTAAGATTTATGACTCTATCTTTATATCCAGGATTTTAATAGATAGAAAGCAGCTCTATTTTGTACAAATTTTTAACAAGTTTGCACTCGAGGTGTTTATCCGAAAGGGGTACTCTAACAGTAATCTTAAGATATTTTTTTAGATGTTTATTTCTCTTACCAATTAACATGATTCATTTAGATATCAAATGTTTGCCTCCCCCTCCCCGTTTTTTTTCCAGACATAAGGTTTTCATTATAGAATTGTTCATTGAAACTCCCAACACTTTCTGTTAAATGTACGTAGTAAGTTAGTGTAAAAATAAGTACTGAAAGAATTTGAGTCGGAATTTAACCCCCCCCCTTTCGAATAGAACAATTGTTTTCTTTTTTCGCTTGTCCAGTTCTTTTCAGGTACTATTAAATTGATTGTTTCTTCTCCGACACCCCCCCCCCCCTTTCGTCACTGCTATGTCAGCGGTTTTCGTGAATAGGAGACTTAACATGACTATAATCAACTTGCATTTATTAATGTGGGATTAAATATGCATAAATTTACCGTTTCTGATAAAATTTGTGTATTTTAGATTATTTAATCTGAAACTATATTTTCCGTTTTCCGTTCCGTTCCGTTTTCCGTTCCGTTTTCCGTTCCGCGTTTTAGCAACACCCGTGAAAGATGTAAACCCGCTGAGAAGTTAATGTAAACCCGCTGTAAAATCTTCATGCCCAAGATGGAAATATTTCTCTAGATTACCACTGATAGAGATTAACATAAATTTTAGTACCAATTATTTATTTAAGTTCTAGATAATCGGATACCAAGATTCCTGAAAAAAATATATAATATAAATTTTCTAAGTACCGGGTATGCTATAAACTTAAAAAAAAAAGCAGCAGACATTTTGCAAGGAATTTCTCTTAAATTTATAAAGTTCATAAAGACAAATGTAAATAGAAAAAAATATGTCTAAATTTAACCCCCCCCCCCCCCCCAACAACAAAATGAATTAGAGACCAAATATATGGAATTTTCTGTAAATGTACTAAAATAAAAAAAATACTGATCGTCTTTCTGTAAAATTACCAAGTCCAAATTTAATATAAAAATAATACAGACAAACTCTGTAAAATTACTAAGTCTAAATTTGATATAAAAATAATACAGACAAACTGTCTGTAAAAATATTAAGTCCAAATTTAATACAGAAATGATACAGTCTAACTGTATAGACTTTTCTGTAAAATTACTAAGTTCAAATTTGATACAGAAAAAATACATCTGGAAAAAATTAAGTCCTGAAATAATACAAAAATAATATACTGAAAATAATCTAAGTCCAAAAAATACAAAAATAATACACTGAAAATAATCTAAGTCCAAAAAAATACAAAAATAATACACTGTACAAAATCAAAGTCAAATTTTAATACGAAAATGATATACTGAATTTTTTGTGATAGGAAAATAATATATTTTTTCTGTATTATTTTAAGAAAGTACAAAAATGAATGTATTAAAAGTATATTAAAAATATACTTTACTGTATTATTTTTTGATATGGGCTAGGTGTGAACATGATCTTAATTTAAAAGTGGTGGATCTAAGGGGAGCGGATATTATTTTTAAATATTTGTGGTGGGTAAAAGGATAATAATGATTATGGCTAATTTATTTCAAACTTTAATCTTACATGTCATGTGTGATCAAGAACTTAACTTATTAGTGGTGGATCCATGGGGAGTGGATATTCATTTTTTAAAGAAATATTTGTGGTGTATCAAGGATATTAATGACTATGCCATAGTCATTAATATCCTTGATATGGTTGATTGATTTTAAGCATTAAGATTATATGTCATGTGTGGTCATGATCTAAACTGATAAGTGGTGGATCCAAGAGGCATAAATATTTTATTTTTAAATATTTGGGTGAATCAAAAGATTTTAATAATTGTACTTTGTGATTATATATAACTGAATT